GCTGTGATTGGTTAGCTGGGCCAATGTGTGCTGTGATCGGTTAGCTGGGCTAGTGTGTGTTGTGATCGGTTAGCTGGGCCAGTGTGCGCTGTGATTGGTTAGCTGGGCCAATGTGTGCTGTGATTGGTTAGCTGGGCCAATGTGTGCTGTGATCGGTTAGCTGCTCACAAATCCCGGAAAATACGCGTTGTAGTACAAACGAGTCGTTCGTTGTAGTTTTTGAAAAGTGATTTCTGTTAAATAAAATATCTCCTTTTGAAGTGGACTTTGAGCTTTGTAACTTTGCAGATGTTTTTTATGCTCAAACAGTAACATTACAGACTAACTAAAGTTGAAAAAGTGAAAAAGCATAATAGGACCCCTTTAAACAGTTTATTGTGCAGGTAGTTAATCTCCGGTCTAAACTAATGTGCTGCTGCATTGCTGCACGTGCACAAAAAAAAAAGCCTGCGCATAACGTATTTACCTTCATAATGTGTAACAATTAATAATTTCCATAAACAACGGCATAATGAAACTGTTAAACTCTAGCCTGACTCACAGAATGGCAAGACACACAAGACAGCCAGACCTCCTTTGATTTTGAATAGCTCTCAAGGCAGACAATGCAGAATTCTTTCTCTTCCTCGCTTTCCTCAACATTTTCTTTTGTAGACTTCTTTCTTTTCCTATTTTTTCCTTTTCTGCAGAGATCCTTTGCTTTACATTAGAGGAAGATGTTTTGTTCTGCTCCTCTGGTGAATTAAATTCTTCTTCCACAGTCTCATCCTTATATTCTTTTGTGTACTTCTTTCCTTTCTTTACCATTTTCTCCTTTTTTGCAAAGATCTTTCGTTTTACTTTGGACAAAGATGCCATCTCCTGCTCTTCCTCAAGGGAATTCCTGGCAGGTGTGTCTGTAAGAATTTCAGTCGGTCTCCTTTTTCTGGTCTTAGTTGTCTTTCGGGGCCCTGCTTTTGGGAATGGCCTCACCAAGATAGGTGAAAAGTCCTCATTGATCAAGGAAGATGTTCCAGCAGCAGGCCTGATGAAGGCAATGGAACTTGGCCCAGTGACAGGCACAGTGTAAGTGGTGGAGAAAGGCCCAGTTGTAGGTACGTTTAAGGCGATGTAGGGTGTCCCAGAGATGGATGCATTGGCAGGCACGGTGGAGGTAGAGAACTGCCCAGCCACAGACACAGTGGAAGCTGGACCAGTGACTGATGTCTCAGGATTGTGTGGACGATCAGTGACGCAGGATGGTGCAAAATAAGCATCACTGAAAATTTCCCTGTTGAAGGGCCAAATGCCTGTGCACCTGAAGCCAGCCTGGATATCTGATGGTGTGGCAGCCATTGGGAAAGAATCCCTTACAATTGCTGGTATGTCGTAAATGGACATGGTTGTTCCAGGATGATGTCTCATCCAGCTATCAGAGAAGCTGTAAACCATCTTGAAAGGGCCAAACACACTGCGGTCCAGTGGCTGCAACTTGTGGGAATAGTGCGGGGGGTAGGAGAGGAGAATAATGCCAGATTCACGACAAAAGTCAATTCCTCGCAAAGACATGTGGGAGTGATGATTGCCGAGGATCAGCAAGCCCTTCTGTGTTGGAGAGGCTCTTGTATGGGTTTGAAAGTGGCATAAGAACTCTAGAAAATCTTCATCCTGTATCCATCCTGATTTGTTGGCTGTTCCTGTACAACATCCCTGATGAAATGAGGGTTGAGGTTTACCCTGTGAAACACAAAGTGTGGAGGGATTGCATTCCCCAGTGCATTCACTGCACATGCCACAGTGACAAGTGTTCCACACTTGCCTTCTCCGGTTTCTGGACAGTGGTGACCCCTGTCTCATCCGTGTTCCAGATATGCTTGGCAGTGAAATGGTGTTTTTGAAATACCTCTGCCAGATTGTTGGTTTTATTAAAGCTTGTTCTCCTAGCTAATCTTGTGGCTGTCTCAGGGAAAGGCTTGGGTGCCTGTTCAGGAAACCATCTAACCAGTCAGCCCCAGCCACTCCATGCTCATCCCATGACTTGGGCTGCTGGCAGTTGTGAGCCTTTGCCAGTTCATAGGCAAATTTGCGAACCTGCATTAAAGCATTTGTGTAAATTAAAAAATGTAAACATATAGGCTACAGTATGTCAACATAAACTAAAAATAAACTGTTCATAATCATGAAACATAACAAATTTAGCAATCTATTATCTTACCTCTTTGGGACTTAAACCATAATATAAGTCAGCAGCCCTGAGGAGGAACTCAGTATGGAGGACAGTATGGTCTCCTGCTCTGCCGTGAACACTTTACTGGCTGGCCGGGATCCTGTCCTAGGTGTGCCCTCACTCACTGTCACCCTCGCCTTCCTAATAAAGTGATATAAAGTCACATGGCTTTGCTGCTGCCCTCACTGACTTCCCCTGTGCAACTTCACTGGCTGCACTCTCAAACAGTGATTGTGGCTGGAGTCCCCTATCCATCTTCCTGGGCCTGAATCTAAGCATAGTTTACTGTAAAGAAATCTCTGTTCTAACTTCATTAAATTGTTTCTTACAAGCTAACTAATCATTCTCTTTGGTTTTGCTGGGTCTTATACAATCACACCACTTTAAATCCACTATACAAACTGACAATGAAAGGAACTTTTCTTTTTTCAGACATATTCACACTTTCTGTCAAACACACATTATTTTAGAGCTTTCGATTAAAAAAAAAAACTAGATTGTGATTAAAAACATGTTTTTACATGGGCCTGGAGACTGAAGCAGAGCCGGCAGAGCAGGGTACCAGGGCGGAGCAGGAAACCAAGGTGGAGCCAGCAGAGCAGGAAGCCGGGACAGAGCCGGCAGAGCAGAGGACAACCAGGGCGGAGCAGAAGACCACCACAGCAGAGAAGATGGGATCGAAGACCCCCACAGTGGAGTAGATGACCACCACAGCTGAACAGACGGGACCAAAGATCGCCACGGTGGAGCAGATGACCACCAGGGTGGAGCTGATGGAGCAGGGAACCACCATGGTGGATCAGGCTGAACTGGAATACAGAGCACAGAGAGGTTATCAATGACCTCTGTGGCCGAAACAGGACAGTCAGAGAGTTCACAGTCGGCCTCTTTGGCCGTGACTGGATAGGCGAAGAACTCGAAGACAGCCTCCTTGGCCGTGACAGGACAGGTTGAGAGTTCAGAGACGGCTTCCTTGGGCGTGACAAGACAAATCAGAGGGTTCACAGGTGGCCTCTTTGGCCGCGGCTGGACCGGCAGAGAATTCAAAGGCAGACGCCGATGCCTCTGGAGGTTCTGCAGCACAAGTTGCCACCTCGGGAGTAGCTGGAGCGGTCGTCGCCGCTTCGAGAGGGAACTTGGAAACGCTACAGGCTAGCAATACTCAGCGATGTGTGTGTGGATGAGTGCAACCTTCATAGTGTGAGATTGATAAGGTAAATAGACACAGGTGAAGGCAATCAGTGATGATGAGTCCGGCAAAGGATTATGGGAAATGTAGTTTGTGAGACTGTGACAAGAGTCAGGGGTGGAGTGCCCTCTGGTGGAGCTCATGGGCACTCCTTAAGGAGCTGCTTCCAGACGCTCCCAAACGAAAACAGAAATGAATGTAGGACAAAGTCAAACAAGGTATACATCCAAACAACGACACTGAGTGGAACCAATGAACTAATGAGTAATTATGGAAACTAACAAGGGAAAGGGTGTGGTAGAATTAGTGTCCATGGTTACAAACAAGGAGCAGAGCAGCAGGGAACATGAGGGGAACAACACAACAATAGGCACACAGAACTACATATTAAAAGTCCTTGAACCCAGAGACCAGAAACACAGACAGGGATTGTAAAATTAGTGTAAGGTCCGGTGAGAATATGCTCGTCTCGTGAAAACCAACGTTTGTTTACAGGAGCAAATGAAGCAAAGTTTCCTTACTTTAGCAAAGGAAAACCGGTCTCCTCTTGGCTTATATCGAAATCCTCCCACATATTTCTTAATAAATCCTCGTTTAGTACTTCTAATCTGTGACCAGTGTTTTGTTTTCTTCTCTCCTCTGCGCTTCCGCACTGACAAGCTACACAAAATCGCATTCAAAATAGCAGGCGATTCCTTGCCGATTATGAACGCGATTTTGTGTAGCTTGTCAGTGAACTACGTCTCTGTGTAGTAAATGCCGCTCCGTCTGAAAGCACGTGCTGGAGATTTACTACTAATCACAGAAGCGGCTTTACTGACGAGATGAGCATGAAAATCGCATTCGATTTTTTGCACAGCCCTAGCTTCCGCATTCGTCACTTCTCACTGGGGCATGCACTACGCCTGCGTCCTACATCATCCGCTGGAATGGAACAAACTGAAAACGGAACTGGAATGAATGCACGTACGACAGTTAGCGGAAGCTAGAGATTACGGTTTATATAGTTTTAAATATGGATATTTTTCTTACACAAATGCATCGATTCGCTTCAGAAGGCCTTTATTAACCCCCCAAAGCTTGGAAGAGCCAGGACAACTTTTAATATAACTCTGATTGGATTCGTCTGAAAGAAGAAAGTCATGTACACCTAGGATAGCTTGAAGGTGAGGAAGGAAATCATGGGCTAATTTTCATTTTTGGTTGAACTATCCCTTTAAGAAAATCAACCATGGTTTTGCTATGGTAAAAGTGTAGTAACCATGTTTTTTTTTCTTTTCTTTATTTTTTCGTACAACCATAGTTTTACTACAAATACCACGGTTAAACTATGGTTAGTGTAGCAAAACCATGGTTAATTTGTGGTTACCATGGTTTAACTAACCATGTTGTTGAATATAGAGATTTTGAACATAGAGTTAGGATTAACAGAATTTTAGATAAAAGAGAGATTTAAAGCCAGATTTTTGTTTATGTATGTGTAATTTAGCTAGCAGGAAACACAAATTAAGTTATATTTTCCTATATTTTCTTTTAAGTAGTCAAACAATCCAAAGACAATTATACAAATGATACGTGGGTTATATATAGCCTAGAATGTGTGCGAAGAGTGCTTCCTTTATAATCACCTAAAAGCTGTCAGTTCGGTTGATCATGATCTCACATTTCCATTATAATCAATGAATGAATCTCTTATATCGTGTCTACACACTGTTATAAGGAGAGTAGTTCTGTCATGTTCTGGGAGAGCTGTGTGTGTGTGTGTTTGTGTGTGTGTCTCTCTCTCTGTGTGTGTGTGTGTGTGTGTGTGTGTGTGTGTGTGTGTGTGTG